GGGTCAAACCTCGCTAATCCTAATTATGTGTCAACTACGGATGTACTGCTTTACCCAACCTTTGATTGGCGGACATTAACCTTGTCATAGCCTCGAAAGGTTTGCTTGAATAACATCGGCCATTGTTTCTACAGTTTCTACATAACATAAAACCGAGTCATGATGTCAGCTGCGCGTCATTATATCAAATTCTAATTCTTCCCTAATATTAGACTCGCCATGAGATAGTAAAGGTTTAGATGAGGCCTTAGCCTCGGCACATCCCCTATGATCACCTAATATAGTCATTACCATGGCCTATACAGAATGCAACTTAGTTTAACACATTTCCAAAGAGAAAATTCTAAAAGATAAAAGTAATCAATGTATAATTCAAATAATCTTTTCCTTCATTAGGCTTGCTTATACTTAAGAATAAGATAACAATTTTGGGTTTATAAGAAAAAACAGCAAATTAACATGAGTAAACATATGTCAAAGCATTTGTAAATTCAAAAACGCAAAGGACAAACTAAAATTAATATAGAAAACTAAATTGAAAGAAGGAGGCAAAGGGGTAAAAGGGGTAAACATGGCTTGAAGAGTAATTTGACACACTCGTGTGTGTATTTAGCACAGGAAGTCACACACGTAGCAAGGGTAAGCAAAACTTAAATAGAAAAGTGAAATGTCCTTGCATCTTTTTCCCCCAATAGAAGGACACAAATGAAAACATTAAACATGATTTGCACATAAAATTAATAAGCCCATGTGATGTTTAGGATAAAAAAAGACACGAGCGAAAGAATAAGAATGGGTTGTGCTAAAAAATGGACACTCTCATGTGTACATTTAGCTTAAGAAAACATAAGGGAAGAAGGTATTAGCACGGTTTAGACACTAAAGTTGTTACACTTATATCTCACTAATAAGGTTGTCATCTAAAGAAAAAAAGAAAATCCATATGGAAAGAAGCTTAGAGACACAAGTTAGAGGGAAAATATGATAAGGGGGAGGATGTAATAACTCTAAAAAAAGAAAAAAAAGGGTTGGTATAAAAGGAGCAATAAGCTGCTCCTTTTTTTCTAGATATTTCCTTTCTCTTTCTCTCCCTCTCTCATGTCGAGTCCCTCCTAAATTTCTACCAATTTCCTTTTTTTTTAAAATCCTATGCTAAATCAATGCTAAATTAGCTTAGAGAAACCATAACCAAGATTTAAGTGAAGATTAGCTAGATTAGAGATTGAAAGAACGAAGAAACTAAAAAGAAGTCGGAGAATTAGAGGAAAAGTTTTTAAGGTAAGATTTGATCCATTTATCTTTAAATTACAATGTTTATATGTAAGTAGTAATGATATTGAGATACAATTGCATTGGGTTGTAAATTGCTTGAGGAATTGATTGGATTAGGGCTAGGGTTCTTAAGATCCATTTAGGGAAAATTTTGATTAAGTGATCCTAAGTGTTTAATTGATATTTAATTATCTTGGATAAGTAAAATAAGAAGTTAATTTGAAATAAAGCTGAGTGAATTTGAGAAATTGAGAGATTGAAGGTGATGAATAGTGACAAATTCGAATTTAGGTTTTAATTGGAAAATTTCAAGGAAAATGAGGAATTAAGTTATAAAAATGTAATTAAAGATGAGTAGAGTGATTATTGGGTGAATTCGAATCGAATTGATCTCTCAATTGAATTAAGGGTTAATTGATTGAGGGTTGATTGTTTAAGAATTGGGTTAAAGATTGGCAATGAATGTGATTAGATGACTAATTAGAATCAATTGAGGGATTATAGGATTTATTTAGGTTATCAAATTGAGAATTTCCAATCAATTTGGTTTTTATTTGATAATTTTATATTTCTAATTCTAGAATAATTCATCGTTGGATTATTCCTTGCCATGTGATATTGATGGATGATTTATTCTTTTGGGATACTAGATTCTTCGAAGCAAGTGGCTCTATCCCAACTGTCTTAACTTCCTTTCGAGTTTGCCATTTGTACTATGAGTGGATATTATATATTATACTGTATTTTACATTCTTGAATTATATATGTCATGCATCATTGAGTTATGAATGATTTAGAAGCATTCAATTAGAACTTAGGTAGGAATGAATTCTATGAACATTTGAAATGTTTCCATATCAAAATGATTTGATATGAATGGAAAAGAGACCTTAATGTGTTATTGAAATTGATATGTACTTTCCGGATTTAAATGATTAAGTTATGTTCATTATTTTAAATATATGTATATTTTCTAAAAATGCATGCATGGTATTTAAAATGCCAATTTGAAAATGTATAAGTGTTTTTTATTTTCAAAAATATTTTAGAGACCTTAAGGAACCTAACTAATAGGGGGTAGCCTTTTAGCTCAATGATACAAGGCTCCATCTAGGAGGAGAAGTGTAGTCTTGAACTGCATGTCGACTAACATGCGAAAACCTAGTCACAAGAGGTGTGACTTTAGGTGTTCGTACTTAAAGATTCGTTATTACCCCATGGGTGTATAAACCTATATATGTATTTTCATATAAATATGATATATGTATGAAAAAATACATGACGATTTGATGTAAAATGACTTTAAACCATTAGATTTGTGATATGAAGTGTGTTTTCGATATGTATGTGTTTTTGAGAAATAAGCATTGCATTTTAACTTAGATTTGAGAACATCGTTTGTCATCCATTTCTCTTCCTTAGTATATTATATAATGTCTCGCTCATTGAACTGTTGATTGCTCACCCCTCATTATTTCAATTTTATAAGATATTGAAGAATTACCTATTGCTTCTTTTGGGTTGTCTATCGTGAAGTCGACACTTTGGTTGTATGATTTATTTCCTTATAATTCTTTAGAACCTATGTTTGATTAAATTTATAATCTTAGATGCTCTACGGTTATAGCAGTAGGTGTTATCTTAGAGATTGATTATGGATATTGAATTTGGATATTGAAATGAGAATAGCTTTGAAATACGAATTGTATTAAGGTTGTAAAGGAAATGTTTGTTAAGTTATGATTATGTTGATATTTAATGATAATTTGAGTGTTATTGATTTAAGGACTTTAGTATAAGTTTGACATTGATTTAAGGTTTAGTTTAGTGTCCAAGACTTGCTTGGGTCGAGGTGGCTTTATGGTTCCCTCATTCTTCGTATCGATCATGGCCCACTTCTAGGATCATGATAAAAACATAATAGTTTGAGAGCTCGGGTTGGCCTAACGCCAATACCCCCTATCTAAAAGGAAAAAGGTGGGAGAAGTTGGAATTTCGACTAGTCATTAGTGGAGTGAGTTTTTAAAGATGGATAACCTTGTATTAGAATGAGCAACGAGTCATGGGTGACTTCGATCACACAAGTGAAAACAATCGATGACTTCGAGTCATGAATTTAAAAAGCTAATGATAACTTTTTCACATCTGGTGGGAAGCCACTACCACTTTATTAGATTGAGCAAGGAGTAGATAACTATTTTGAAAGCCATTGACGAACTTCATTTCGGAAAAGTAGATGTTAAATAAAAATTATTTTAAAACCATCAACGACTTTATCACATAAGTGGGAAGCCACTAGCGGCTTCGTTTTAGCATTGCAACTAGCCACGAAACTCAATTAAACCATAAAAATTGACATAGATTTTGCATTTAAGTAGATATGGATAAATAGAAAAACAGGGTAGTTTGTCTTAAAATGGCCATTACGGGAATGTTCACTTCGACCATATTTAAACCATGAATATTTAAATACCATGCAAAGATTTCATATATATTTCAAGGGATTCAAACACTTGTATTCATGTTTTAAGGAGTGTAGTAATTTTAGAATTTTTACCCAAAACATTCTGTTGTTCGATGCTTGATTCAAGGGTCGGTTTTACTTCCTTTTTCTTTGATGATAATCGATTATTTTAGTTAGCCGGAGAAAGGAAGTAGTCGTCTATTGTTAGGATGTCATATGGGTCTCGTCAAAGTGATCAAAAATTTCTCCAAAGTCAATATGAATGACCAAGGTTATTGCTATCATCAAAGTCACTATAAATTGGCAAAGTTGTTATAACTTTGCAAAATTTCTTAAACCTTTAGGGACATTTGCTACTTTATTTTTCCTATCAAAAATTAACACAAATACGATCTACAATATCATGTTGTTCCTGCCAAACATAATCCAACAATAATAAATTTATTTAGTGTTCTCCTTTTTTTATTTAGTGATCGAAGAAGAGCAAAAGCCACAAGCTTTGGCTAAATTTTGGCTGGCCCTTTAGTGTGATACGATGGTCTGTACGAGAGGTATTGTATAGCCATTTTAGGGGATGTTATGGGAAGCTATAGAGAGGCTACTTTAAAGCTACTCTAGGGAGCTATAGAGAAACTGTTATGGGAATTGTTTATAGGCTATAAGGAATTGTTGTTTAGGGAGCTTATAGGGAGTTATTTATAGACTATAAAGGGCTGCTATTTAGGGGGTTGTAGGGGCTATTTTGGGAGCTATATGGAGATTGTTTATAGGTTGTAAATGAGGTAGTTTAGAGGCTATTTTGGTGAGAAAAAAATGTTAGTTAAAAAGGTGGGTCGTAGGAAGACTGTTTAGAGGGATTGATTTGAACTACTATGGATGAGCTTTAGGAGGCTATTTTGAACTCTTATTCAAGGGCTAAAGGGGGTGTAAGGTGTGTAAAAGAAGCTAGCCAAAAATGAAGCTAGCCAAAAATGAAGGTTAATAGGCATACTAGTCTATAAGCTAACGGACATACTAGCTCTGATGGGCATACTTGGTAGGCATGTTGGCCGTGGGCTGGTAGGGGCATGTAAGAGAGGGCTATGTTATTGCAAGACTACGTGCATGCTAAGGGCTATAGGTTAGAGGGCTACTAGGCTGTGCTTGTGCCGTGGCCTAGGTGCATTGCAAGGGATGCTTCGCTGTGCGATGACCTATTGGTTATGAGGCAATATACGAAGGAGGGTTGTGGCAAGGATGTTACATGCAAGGGGTTATGGTGATGATGGCGAGAGGGTTGGGAGATATGAGGAGGAGGGGATGGAGGGGCTATAATGGTTTGTTAGAGGGGATGTGTTGTATGGAGCTTGAGAGGAGGAAAAAGTTATGGACTATATGGGTGAGTTTTGAGTGATTGAGAAGTTACGGTAGTGAGAGAGAGAGAAGTAGTTGGAAGAAGGTGGTGATGAATAGTAAAAAGTATAAAAAAAATGCATGGGAGTGGGTTTTTATAGGTAGGTTTAGGTTTTTTAGTAAAAGTTTGTTTTGGTCCCCAATCCTCTATCACCCATAAATTCGAGTTTAATTTTTTATTTTTTTTTCAATTGAGGCCTTTAATTGCAAATAATTGGCACTTTTCATTTTAAGTTATTTCAATTATGTCCCTCTTTAATTTAAATAAGGAACTGAAGCTTTGAATTTTTTGAATGGGCCCTCAATTGTCTCTTTTTTTATTTTCAAGTTTTTATTTTTTTTTAAATTAGCCCCCTCTTAATCTAATTATTTCAATTGTTTTGATTTTTGATTATATATATATATATATATATATATATATATATATATATATATATATATATATATATATTGGCATTTTGTTTTCTTAATCAATTTTTGGTAATTTGCAACAAATATTAAAGAAATAAAATCGGAGAAAAATTAGGTGCTAACATGACTAATCCTAGCATTGTTATTTTGGTAACTCAATTAAGAATTGTTTTTTTTTAAAAAATGAACCAATAATTTAATCTAAAAAATAGTTTTACAAATTATTGGTTATCATTTATAGATAATTATTCATTTGGTTTCAAAAGATTAATGTTGGAACAATTTGTAACAAATTATTCGCTATAATTATCAATAAAATTTTATAACTAATTAAAATTATTGATTTAGTTCCAAATAAAGTGTTGGCAAAATAATGTATTTATTAATGAATTAATTAGTTTTTAATTTTTCATAAATGATTGCAATCTCGTAGTAATCATTTCCAATCATTTAAGTATATTTTAGGTGATGTTTGGGATAATGGTAAACAAATAGAGATAAATTATTGAAATATTTATTATAAAAATAATTTGAAGGCCTAAAAATAGTTTTTATGAATATTTAATGTATTTATAAATCAAAAAATCAAATGTCGAGTAGAAATAGAGAAAAAATAATTAAATAATTAAGGCTTAATATTCTTGAAAATCATAAACTATACATTTTTTAATGATTTTAGCTTGTTTTTTAAAAATTATATAGAAAGATCATCAACTAAGCATCCGATAACAATAATAGCATCAATTCATTTTTTTGACCAAAATTCGATCGGTGCTGACATGGCAATCTATATAAGTATGACACGTGGACTTTAGCAAGCCACATAGGATCCACATACGTAGTGACGTGGAAAGTCAATTACGTGAATCCCATGTGGCATGCTAAAGTCCATATGTCATGGCTACATGGATCCTGTATGGATTGCTAATGTTCAGATGTCATGCTTCGTCACTTGCTATGCCGGTATTGATTGGAATTTTGATTGAAAAATCAGATCGATGCTAATATTGTTATTAGATACTTAGTTTGTGACTTTTCTATACAATTTTTAAGGAATGAGCTAAAATCATTAAAACGTATATAGTTCATGATTTTTTGAAACATTAAGCCAATAATTAGTAATAATTGATAAGAAATAATTAAAATTTAATTTAATAAATTTTAAATGAAAAAGGGATAAAAAATTATTAAAATATATCGAGAAAGAGATGAGTAACGTGAGAGCAAGCCACATAGCAATATTAGCACCAATCTGATTTTTAAACTAAAATTCTAATCAACATCGACATGGCAGTCTATGTAAGCATTACACGTGAACTTTAGCAAGTTATGTAAGATTCACATAAGCAATGATATGAAAAATCAATTACGTGGATCCTATGTGGCATGCTAAAGTCCATGTGTCATGCCTACATGAATCCTATGTGGCTTGCTAAAGTCCACATGTCATGCTTCATCACCTCACATTTCAGCGTTGATTGGAATTTTTGTCAGAAAATCAGATCGTTGCTAGTATTGTTATCGGATGCTTAGTTGGTGACCTTTCTATACAATTTTAAAAAAAGAGCTAAAATCATTAAAAAAACATGTATAGTTGGTGATATTCTGAAACATTAAGCCAATAATTGATAAAAATAATTAAAAAATAATTTAATATATTTTAAATAAAAAAAGAGATAGAGAAAAAAATTATTAAAATATATCGAGAGAGATGTGAGTAATGTGAAAGAGAGGAAAATATTTTTCTCTTTTTTAACTCGAAAAACATTTTTTCAAAAATATTATATCATTTTTTGTTGATTGAAAATAATTTTTTGTTGACTTTTTTTCTAAACGCGAAACAAATATAAAAAAATTGAAAAAAAAAATTAAGTTTTTGAAACTTATTTTATCCTAAACAAACATAACCTTAGCCTCCTCAAAAAGTTTCTTTTTCTGTTCATGGAGACGTGTGAGAAATACAGTATTGAATACAAATGCATGAAGGACTTTGAAATATCAATCCTTCGTAGCTCATTTTATAAGAAAATATGAATCAATAACGCATCGAACGATCGAAACGACAACAACGTAGTAAGAGAATCCTAAGACAAGTTAAAAGGCTTGCGAGTGAGTCAACCAGACAGCTTGAGGTCTTGTATGTCAAACTATAGTCCGGTAAGGCTGACGTAATTAGGTGGCTAACAGTGACCCATCATAAAGTTTCATCAGGTGATTCAAAGATTAGGCGTTCACTCCATCACCCTGCATACCATGAGCATGACTTGGCTTTACGTTTCAAGTAAGATAAATTAGGTGAAGAAATAGCAGCAGCCCTTCTTCAAAAAGAAAAAAGTAAAAAATGCCATTGGCGATTTGGCGTGGAATAAGGGGCGTTGAAAACCTTACCAACTTTGTCACTATAATTTATGATTCTTTCCAAAAAAATTTTATTTTTTATTTTTGGTTCAGGCAAGATGAAATATCTAATTACATAACCCTATTTCACTTCACTCTCGCGTAGATACATTGCAAGAGTTCACACTCACTCTCTGAAACCCCATTCTACCTTTTTTTATTGCTCAATCAATACCCACAACTACTCCACCACAATGATATTAGAAAGTCAAGGAAACAAACAATGAAGGGCGTTGAAAACCTTGTTCATGCATATTAAACTAAAATTGGCGTGAAACAAGGGGCGTTGAAACCATGGCATTGCCATAATCAGCAGTCAGAATGAACTAATTAAGAATCCTAGAAAGAAAGCAAAGGTGAATGAATGCTAGCTAGCTATCTAATTCATTAGAATTAAAGTCAAGCAACCAATTAGTTTCTTAAAATTGTATGGTTATTATTGAATGTCAAGCAGCATCAAAATGACCTCGTCATCCAAGTCAAACGGGTCATGACAAATCATTAATTACTTCTTCCTTCAGCTTCACTTACCCTACCAACTTTGAATATGCATGTCAATTGATTTTCAGATAAACAAAAAATTTGCTTTGCAATGGGTCTTCTAGAAATAAATTAAGCTTGCTGACGGGGGTGCGTACCTCCTCTAAATGGAATTTAATATAACATCGCAGTTTTTTGTCTTGTATATTCTTACATCTAAGCCTGACATTTGAATAACAGACGTGAACTGCAAACAAATCATGGGAATACCAATGGATTACATGATTCCAATACTTCTCTTTATTTGCTCATCTTTATTGTTGATTTTTGGTACATCCACTGCGATCGACACCATAGACACAACTCAGTCAATTAGAGATGGTGATACAATTGTTTCAGCTAATGGAACCTACAAATTAGGATTTTTCAGCCCAGGAAAATCCGAAAATCGATACTTGGGGATATGGTATGCCAAAATATCTGTCATGACTGTAGTTTGGGTTGCCAACAGAGAAACCCCACTTAATGATTCTTCAGGTGTTTTAAGGATTACTAGCCAAGGAATTCTTGTCCTTGTCAATCAAAGCGGGAGCACAATATGGTCTTCCAACTCATCAAGGTCTGCAAGCAATCGGATTGCACAGCTTTTGGATTCAGGAAACCTTGTCGTGAAAAAGGAGGGTGATAACAACCTAGAAAACTCCTTGTGGCAGAGTTTTGAACATCCAGCCGATACATTGTTGCCTGAAATGAAGCTAGGACGGAATAGAAGAACAGGGTTGGACAGCTACATTACATCATGGAAGTCACCGGAGGATCCTTCAAGAGGCAATGTTTCAGAAATTCTTGTTCCTTATGGATATCCTGAGATACTTGTGCTGGAGAATTCAATTGTGAAACACCGGTCTGGACCGTGGAATGGTCTGCGGTTCAGTGGTATGCCTCAATCAAAACCAAATCCCAAATACACAATTGAATTCGTTTTTAATGAGAAAGAGATATTTTACAGATATCATGTTCTCAGTAGCTCAAATCTTTGGAGAGTCATGGTAGGTCAGAATGGCGACGTTGAGCGCCTCACGTGGATTGATCAAACACAAAGTTGGCTGCTTTATCTCACATTAAATACCGATAATTGTGAACGTTATGCACTGTGTGGTGCAAATGGTATCTGTAGTATTAACAACTCTCCAGTGTGTGATTGCTTGAATGGATTTGTACCTAAAATTCAAAGCGAATGGGAGATGATGGATTGGTCAAGTGGTTGTGTTAGAAGGACTCCACTAAATTGCTCTGGAGATGGGTTTCAAAAGGTCTCAGCTTTGAAGTTGCCTGAGACAAAAACATCATGGTTTAACGAGAGCATGAGTCTTGAAGAGTGCAAGAACAAGTGCTTGAAGAACTGCAGCTGTACAGCTTATTCAAATTTAGACATCAGGGATGGAGGAAGTGGATGCTTGCTCTGGTTCGATGACCTGCTTGATGTTAGAATACTTGTTGATAATGAACCAGACATTTATATAAGGATGGCTGCTTCAGAACTAGGTACGAATTTATCATCTAGAAAAGTAAATGTCTAACATGAAGATTCTTGTAGATATTAACTGTGGTAGAAGGATGCAGATAGCTAATGAAATTTTTTTATGCCATAATAACTAACCAAAGGCATACATAGCATACTGACCTTACCTATTATTGTCTTTTAACTACAGTTCTTCCTCATCCTTGAGTGCAGATAATGGTTATGGCGTGAAGATTAAAACAAAAGTCAATGTGAAGAAAAGGATCATTGGAAGCACTGTGTTGTCTGCTGGAATTCTGCTCCTTGGCCTAGCCCTGGCCTTTTATGTATGGAAAAAGAAGCAGCAGAAAAACAGTACGTTATTCACACCATGAAATTCTACCACTACCATGCCCCCTTCCCTTCTATTTTCAGATAGGCCGTTTAGTTTGTTTTCAGATTTGATCTTTACTAATCCAAGCTACAACCAAAAATTGTTAAAGTGATCATTATATTTGATTTACTGAAGAAATCTGTATTTACAGAAAATAGGCATCCACCTTTTCTTTTCTGCTGGCAGGAAAAAAGACAGGTGTTTTGGAAAGAAGTTTAAATAACAACCAGAGGAAGAAAGACCTGGAATCATTGTTGTTTACTAAGGATACCTTGGCACGTGCAACAAATAACTTCTCTCTTGACAATAAACTGGGAGAAGGAGGATTCGGACCAGTTTATAAGGTACCACTAAACTACTAATAGTCATGCAAGTTCTATGCAACATCGTACTATGATTCTCAACTTTCACAGGACGAAATATTATTTATCTGCTTATGATAATCAGGGGACACTGAAAGATGGACTTGAAATAGCTGTGAAGAGGCTCTCTAAGAGTTCGAGGCAAGGCCTTGATGAGTTAAAAAATGAAGTCAGCCATATAATGAACCTTCAGCATCGAAACCTAGTGAAGCTTCTAGGATGCTGCATTGAAGGAGAGGAAAAGATGTTGATTTACGAGTTCTTGCCTAACAAAAGCTTGGACATCTTTATTTTTGGTTTGGATTTCTAACCAGCACTGATTTAGTTGATAAGTTATGCTTTATTATTAATTCTAACATCATAGAAAAAGTAATTTAAAAGGGAGTAATGCTTAATTTGACATGCATATAAGAATCTGATGTGGACATGGATTGACTTGGGCAGATGAAACACGGAGCTTGCTATTAGATTGGCCTAAGTGCTACAATATTGTCAACGGGATTGCTCGTGGACTCCTATATCTTCATCAAGATTCAAGACTAAGAATTATTCATAGAGATCTGAAAGCCAGCAATATTTTATTAGATTACGAGATGAACCCAAAAATTTCAGACTTCGGCCTGGCCAGAGGTGTTGGAGGAAATGAAACTGAAGGCAAAACAAGGAAAGTGGTGGGAACATAGTAAGTGTTTCCAGCATACATAATTACTTCCAATTATGACAAATTCCATCTAACTATCTTAAAATATGTTCAGTGGCTACATATCACCAGAGTTTGCAATCAATGGACTCTACTCACTAAAATCCGATGTCTTCAGCTTGGTGTATTGGTGTTAGAAATTCTGAGTGGCAAAAGGAATAGAGGATTCTTTCATCCAGATCACAATCTTAACCTTCTTGGACATGTAAGTGTCGTTGCAAGATTTTCTTAATTCTGGTTATGAAATCTCATTTACTAACGTGATTTAGTTTAACAGGCTTGGACACTTTTTACTGAAGGCAGGCCATTGGAACTGGTTGCGGAATCAATGGCTCAAACGTGCAATTTGTCTGAAGTGCTACGTCTGATTCAATTGGGGCTATTATGTGTGCAAGAAAATCCTGAAGATAGGCCAAGCATTTCGTATGTGGTTTTGATGCTAGGGAATGAAGATGAATTTGTTAGAATCCGAGAATTTTCTAGATACTTTAAGTATCCTTTGTAATCCTTGGTTAGTTTAAAAGGAGTGAAACTCCTTATTTTGTGGGATTTTGTTTTGAAATACTTTTTGTAATCCGAGTTGGTATTGCTACAGTAATATGTGCTACAGTACCATGTATATATTTGTACCAGAATATCAAAGTGTGATACTCTGTTTTTGGCTTCTCATGCTCGTTTTACGTTTCCTTCTCTCGTAACTTCTTTTTTCTTCTTATCTTGCCCATGAACTGATATTGTTTACATGGTATCGGAGCTTATAAAGATCTTAAAGGTCCCGTGAGTGACTAAGAGAGAACACCGGCAAGGATTCCTCACCAAAAAACCTTAAAAAACTCAAACCTTAAACTCTCATGGCTTCCAAGCAACACAATGCCTCTTTCACCCCGAGTTTTCAATGGTGACAACTATCAAGTTTGGGCTGTCAAAATGAGAGCTCACTTGAGAGGTCTTGGTTTGTGGCAATGGGTTGAAACTGAAAAACAAATACCTCCTTTGGGAAACAATCCTACTCTTAATCAAATCGGGGCTCATGAAGAAGAAGAAGCTAAAGCTCCAAGAGCTTTATCTTACATTCATGCTTCGCTGTGTCAGAATCAATTTTCACAAGGATTATGGCTTGTGAAACACCAAAAGAGGCTTGGGACAAGCTCAAGGAGATGTATATGGGGAGTGACAGAACAAGGCAAATGCAGATTCTGAATTTGAAGAGGGAATTTGAAGTCTTGAGAATGAAAGATAATGAGTCCATCAAAGAATACGTAGATAGGCTCATGGAAGTTGTTAACAAAATCGAGCTTCTTGGTGAGGATTTAACGGACCAAAGGGTTGTAGAGAAAGTTCTCGTAAGCTTGCTCGAAAGATTTGAGTCCAAGATCTCTTCTCTTGAAGACTCAAAGGATTTAACCAAGATTTCCTTGGCGAGCTTGTTCATGCTTTTCAAGCTTAAGAAC